TATGTGCAGCCGAAATCTACTCATTCCTTTGATACTGATAATATGGCCGCCTTATTTTACACGTTGGTTATACCCATGTTGAATCCAATGATCTACAGCTTGAGGAACAAAGAGGTGAAAAATGCCCTACGAAGAACTTGGAGAAAGTGTGCAAACATAGGCACACCTCAGAGATATTGTGGGTTTGGTTCCAGTCCACCACAATGAAGCAAATTTCACAGTAAACTAAATTAAATGAATTTTTGGTTTCCAATATATATAAAAGTTATGTTGACACTGTATTATAGTCTGTTAAGTATTTTTAGCATTAGAGGTAATCATACAATGTGTATATTTTAATTAAAAAAAACACTGCATTGCTTAAAAATGCTGTCATCTGAGCATTCAGAGTCATAATATTTAGCTCACAGAGGGTCTTGCCTCCATCTTGATGGCTGCTTGATGGGTGGTGGTTTCTGAAGGTTAGGGTGACTGTGGTATTTTCTGTTTTTTTTTTATTAAAAAATGTTAAATATTTATTTTTGAAAGAGAGAGAGACAGAGCACAAGCATGGAGAGGCAGATTGAGAGGGAAAGAGGGAGACACAGAATCCAAAACAGGCTCCAGGCTCTGAGCTGTCAGCACAGAGCCTGACGCAGGGCTCGAACTCTGGACAGAAAGATCATGACCTGAGCTGAGGTTGGACGCCCAACCAACTAAGCTACCTAGGTGCTCAACTAATTTCTTAAAATAAATCAACGATGAAGTTTGTTGCATTTATTAACTCTTCCTTTCATGAATAATTTCTCTATAGCATGTGATGCTGTTTGATAGAGCTTACCCACAGTGGAACTTCTTTTCAAAATGGAGTCAATCTTCTCGAGCCCTGTTGCTGCTCTATCACCCATGTATATGTAATATTCTAAATCCACTGTTGCCAGTTCAACAACATCACAACATCTTCACCAGGAGTAGATTCCATGTGAAGAAATCACTTTCTTGGTTCGTGCATAAGAAGCAATTCTTCATCCATTAAAGTTTTATCATGATATTTAAGCCATTCATTCACATCTTTAGGCTCCACTTCTGATTCTAGTTCTCTTGCTGTTTCTACCACATCTGAAATTACTTCTTCCACTGAAGAATTGAGCTTCCAATTTGTTTAAAACATACACAGACCCATACACACACACACATAACAAATATATAATGCTAAGTATAATCAAGTGAAGCAGAATAAAAGAAGTATGCCTGTGTTTTATTTAAAATTCACAGTAAGATATGCTAACAATAAATGATGTATTATCCAACGTATACTATAATTAACATTCCGTAACCTGTACTATTGCTTGAAGGGATGAGCAGATTTCTGTTAAATTATGATTTGTGAACATGAGCATGCTTAACAAAGTATAAATAAAAGCACTGTTATTTTTAAGTTGCGTAATTGTGTACAATACGAATTCAAAAGAACTTCAAGGTGAAACATTAAAAATAACAACTAAATTTTGCAAGGTTGGTATATATAAGGTCTCCATATAAGAGATCAATTTTTTTTTGCTAGAAACTAGCAAAAGACTTGTAAAAATGAAATTTTATACTATTAATTACACCTGAAAAGAATATCTATATCCAAGGAAAAATTTATAAACAATTTGCATGATTTGTTGTCAGAAACTACAAAGACATTACTGAGTTATTAAAGAAAGCATAGATGTCGGAGTATGTCATGTCCTTTGGTTGGAAGAAGTAAATGCTGTGATGAGATCAGTTCTCCCTAAATTATCCTATAGATGTAACACAGTAACAATCCAATCCCAGTCGGTATTTAAATATTTAAGTTAATATAAAATGTATATGGAAATGCAAAAGATTTAATAACCAGGGTAATACCCAAGAAGAATTTAATGATGGGTATAAATTCCTTTAACAAAGCTAGACTATTTTTTAATGTTTATTTATTTGTTTTGAAAGAGAGAGATAGGGAGAGGGGCAGAGAGAGAGAGGATCCCAAGCAGGCTCCCTGCTGTTAGTGCAGAAGTGGACACAGGGCTTCTTCTCACCAGCAGAACCATGAGATTATGACCTGAGCTGAAATAAGGAGTCAGCTGTTTAACAGACTGAGCCACCCAGGTGCCCCAAAACCACAACGTTTCTTGAACAAAAGGAAAATATCTCCATGAGTTGGAATAAGCAAAGAAAGCCAGGGAGGTGAACAATGAATGGACATAACATCAGGTGAAAGACACTAGGCTCTCCCAAAATCACACTGGCATATGCAAATATAAATGAGATTGAACTGTATTCATTTGGCGCTTTATATAAGTGACCCATTTTGGTTTAGAATGTTTGATACTGTTGAGGAGTACTGCATGTAGGCAAGAATGCAAGGCTGATTTCACACGTGAAAGCCCATTACTTAAATCCATAAATCAACATTCTTATTAGTTAAAAGAAAACAAATAGGTTTATGATAAAATTCAACAGCAACTTGTTATAAACTGACAAGCTGCGTAGAATAGAAGAAATCAGTGTTATAAATGATATCTATAAAAATCTTACATATGGGGGAATAAATAGATTGAACACAGAGGTATTGAAGTTAGTGAAAATACTTGTACAGTATTATAATCATGGACACATATTACTGCATTTAAAAACATACAGAAAACTTGTAAAATGGAAACATTGAACACTTACCTTCTGAAATTGACCCTAAGACTAAGAGACCCGGACTCATCATGTATATTCAATATGTATTGGACATTGTAGCTTGTTCACCATAATAGGAAATAAAAAGTGTAAACATAGGAAACCACATACTGTCATTAAAAAAAATTTTTGGGTAAATGTTATGATTAACTACATAGAAAAAAATCTATAAATAATTTATTAAAAATAATAAGTGAATTTAGTAAATTTGCTGGATACAAAACAAATTTAGAAAAATCAAGTTTATTTCTATATCCCACCCATAACAATTAGAAAATAAAATTGAAGGAGTGATAACGTTTATAAAACAAATAAAATAAATCCCTAATTTATTAAAATCTCATACAAATATATGAGTCATCATTAATAATATGTATAAAAATTTAACAAGGCATAATCAA